TTAATTCGATGACGAGGAACTCACTTTGAGACTAATAATGGTCGGAGACGGCTTGAATGGGTAATGATGAAAAAATTTAGTATAAATTTAACATAACAGCAAATGTACAACGTTTCGACAAGGTTTTGTCATCTTCAGGTACCTCTCTCTCTTTTTAACATTTTCAATAATTTATTAAAATATTCTAAATTACGACAGCAACGAGCTCATGAACGAGACAAAATCATAGCAGCAGCCGTTTTTACCTCACAATATAGGCGGAAAAACGTTAATAAAGTAACAACAAATATCTATTAAATCTATAAAGTAATAAATACATATTAATTATTAATCAAATTATTATTTCAGTCGTTCTTAATGTATAAAACGTCTATATGCAAATAAAAGCCAAATCATTAAATGAAGATATAGCTTAAAGATGCTTTGCGGGCTTTACGGCATAACCAGGTTTCATTCGCTCGGGCCCCTGGGCAGTTGCCCCCCCTCTTGTCGGCTGGCCTGAGGGTACATATAACCATAAGGAAATCATATTAGAAGCATGGAAAGGACGGTTCGCACAATGCTCAGATGATTGTTATAACATTGGTTCATGAGTCATCTAATGAGTAACCACTATTAAAGTACATTGTTAGGCGAAACTTTTTATTCCACAACAGGAAACAAAGAGGTTAGTGTACTTTTTTTTTTCAGTTTTTAAGCTTCGTACTGATGCTTGTTGCTAGTTTTTAGCTTATTTTACTCCTTTTAAGCCGTGTAATATTGAGAAAAGTACTAGTATAAAATGCGTAAATTTTTTTATATAACACAAATTAACACAGATTTGATACCCAACCAGAAATTCCGGTTTTACTTTTTAACATTTTTATTGGCATTTCTTTTTCATTCAAGTTTTATTTGAATCGTTAGAATCCCGTGTGACTAGAATAATAGCTGTCACACATACATCTACATGTTGTGTAAAATAATTACAGACGTTTTTCTTAATTATCTGCAATATTTATAGAATGATGAAATAACCCGTTGACACTGATGCTTCAAATTTAAACTTACGTCGTGGAAGATAAACAAGCTTAAACACATTATAGGCAGTAAAGAATATGTAATTAAAAAGAACTAAATAACTGTTGACCGTTTCAGGTCGACAGATGAAAAGAACTGACTAGTTAGCGATATACTTAGTTGAACCACACAGACAAGAGATAAAGAGGTCATATATTGTTTGTTAGTCTGAAGGAATCAGACGGTATATCTGTAATTATAACATACTTTCATAAACCGATTGAAGCTCTATTACTTGGACTCGTCTAGTTGATTTACTCTGAGCTTCACACAGCGAATTCAAAAAGATTTAAACGTACTACCTGCCATTCTATCGATTGAAGTGTTACTTACGATTGTACTCCGAAGAGTAGAATACTGGGTATGTAGTTGACAGTATCAGTGAAACTTCGAGGCATTCAAATATTCAAGTTTCATATGTATTTGTATTATTATAAAGGGTAGCGTTCATAGGGTTACTGCTTTCAGGGTTTACAATTATTTGAATATTAGCCAAGTCTGCGACACGTTGCCGTTAGCAACGAAGTTTTGAATGCAGTTATGTTTGAATCACGTGAATAGCAGGAGTTAACCGCTCATTACTTTCATTGTTACCACAGCTCGACGCCGTTGTTGCGTTCGTGGTTTTTAACTGGATTGTTTTGGATTGATATATGACTTGGGAAATGTAGAGTTGAGCGTATATGTACTGGTGATGCATTTGTAAGATAACTTAGTCTTCTTAAATCAAATATAGGAAATAACTTTACCGGAAAGTCACGCCGTATATCTTTCGCAATATAAACGTACTTCGTAATTTATGGGTATAATTTAGTCATTGAGGTTAATTCAAGGTTTTTAGGCAAAGTGCATATAAAAAGACGCAGGTTTAGCCTGAAACCCTACATATGAAAAGAAGGGTATCAACCTGAACTCTAACAGAGGAAATTGAGTATTTCTAATATCTGTAGTTCATTGAGCATACTCTTTTTTCCCTCACAATTAATTCAACACAATAATTATAAGCCATTTATCTTTGAGTTTAATTAAAGCAGACCAATTAAGTTTCTGTAGAAAAAAAATAATACTACAGAAAATTTACTTGACACGTGAAAATCCTGTGCAGCCTCTGTTGTTTCTCTACATGACACGTGATAACTCTGTAGCCTCTATTGTTTTTATACGTAACACGTGATAACCCGTGAAACCTCTATTGTTTCCCTACACGAAACTTGACGAAGCTGTACAATATTCAGTAGTTGTTTGGTTACACGAGACTTGACGAAGCAGTACAATATTCAGTAGTTGTTTGGTTACATGAGACATTATGAAGCTGTACAATATTCAGTAGTTGTTTGGTTACACGAGACTTCACGAAGCTGTAAAATATTCAGTAGTTGTTTGGTTACATGAGACATTATGAAGCTGTACAATATTCAGTAGTTGTTTGGTTGCACGAGACTTCACGAAGGTGTACAATATTCAGTAGTTGTTTGGTTACATGAGACTTCACGAAGGTGTACAATATTCAGCAGCTGTTTGGTTACATAAGACATTATGAAGCTGTACAATATTCAGTAGTTGTTTGGTTACATGAGACTTCACGAAGGTGAACAATATTCAGTAGTTGTTTGGTTACATGAGACATTATGAAGCTGTACAATATTCAGTAGTTGTTTGGTTACATGAGACTTCACGAAGGTGTACAATTTTCATCATAGCCAGATTATCCATTGGACCCGTGTCCAAAGAGGGCCCAGAAACGATCGAACGATATTCTTTTTTTTCACGTTCTTGTTTGAGTGTCTTTACTTTACACCAAAAAGTTGTTTAATTGAGTTTGGCAACAACCAGTCTATA